CTTCCCCTCCCGCCTAGATTGTAAGCTCCAAAGAGCAGGGCCCTTGAACCCCTTGTGTATTGTATTGTTCCTGTCTTGTCTCATGTTCTGTCCCCCTCGCTACTGTACAGCGCTGAGCATACCCATTGGCGCTATATAAATACTGTATAATAGTTACCAGCAATGAGTATAATATCGTTTATTCCATGACCCATATACATAAATAATGATACATAAAATATAATCTGCACAATTCTGGTTTCATCATCTCATTAGGCCGATCGACTTTTAACATTTGGATTTTTCGTTCGTGTTGACGAAGATTCCCCGGACATAAACATCCGGGTCATCTTCTGTTTCCGCTCACGTGTGATAGCGCTTGATAGATTTTTTTTTTTTTCGTTCGACCGTCATACCGCGCATAGAAAATCGGTCGTTCGTGTGTGCAAAACGACAAAATTTTTCTCTGTTGTTCAACCGGATTTTTTTTGTTCACAATATATCGTTATTGGTTAACACGTCCTGCTTATCAACGAAGAGGAAATCGTTCGATCAGCGGTTCCGCAACATTTTACATGTGTACGGGGCATTAGGATATGGATGTATTTCTTTTGACAGACTTCTTTACTTTTATACAAAGTATTACAAGCTGTTTATACTCTTGTTCTGTCATTTCTTCTGGACTTTGTAACAAAAGCAGTCTCCGTGAGACTTTTATTCACGTGTCAGTATGTTTGTTTAAATACTTGTTCACGTCCTTGTTACATTGTTATGTTTTGTTTTCAATATTTGTTTTTACTAATGAATTCATAGGTGTCATGTGAATTTGCTACTTTGCCTGAAGTTTGTTTGTTTTTGTTTTGTTTTTTTTTTTCTCTTTTGCTTTGTTTTACCCTTGATTGATATCTTTTACCCATATTTTGTTTTATTTTTCTTCTTTACTGTTATTTTTGTCATTTTTATTAAGTGGAAAGTCACTTTCTCCATCAGCATTGACTATTTTGAATCATTACGTTGCTAGCATTGGTAAATGGATAGGAAAATATATTATATTTTGTTTTGTTTTTTTTTATTAATATTTTATTAAGTTTTACATTTTATCTCTTCTATCAATTAAAATTTCGATATAACTTATTCCAATATTTTACCCAACATACATAGAAATACAAAACTGGCCCTTCCCCTCCTCCCTATCCTGGATATTTACTTGTTTTTAAACCTCTCTTTTACATTTCTTCAGTTAGTTTCTAGTTTCCAGGCCTAGGCAAATGAGGTCATACATCTCACTGAAGGAGGAGAGGAGGGGCTCTCTATGACAATCACACCCTCTTGCCTGCATGCCTGAACTAAGGGCAGATGGATTTCAGGAAGTAAACGCTACTTGAATCATCTGCCTTTACTCAAGATAGCCACAGCCAGAAAAGTCAGCAGCTACAATAACTGTAGCTGCTGACTTTTAAAAAACAGCCACTTACCTGTCCCTCGGTCCCGCGGTGTGTGTCCCCCGCAGCTCGTTTCACCGGCCATCCTGTATTCTAGGAGGCCGGCATCTTCAGTGTGGGCACCCGACTGTGACAGCTTGCGGCTTCACAGCCGGGTACCCACTACGCATGCGTGAGTAGCGCTGCGCTTCATGAATGGTCCTGTAGTCTTCTGGGGCCTGTCACGTGTCCCAAAAAACTACAGGGAGGGAGGACACCTTCAGTTTAGGCGATCGGACCGGAAGTGAGAGCGGGTACCTGTCAAATTCGGGTACCCGCTCCCCCCCCCCCCCCCAAAGGTGCCAATCCTTAATGGGGAGCGGGGGAGCAGTCCTTAAAGCGGAACTTCCCCTTTTGGGTGCAGCTCCACTTTAAGCCTCCGTATTGTGTAAAAAGGCTGTTTGATTCCTAGATTGTAAGCTCCCAGGATCAGGGCCCCCCTAACCCTCTTGTATTGAACTGTATTGTTGCTGTATTGTCTCCCGTTTATATTGTAAAGCGCTGAGCAAACTGTTGGCGCCATAAATCCTGTATAATAATAAAAATAATCCTGTCCTCTCTGATCCTCCCCTTCTTCCAGTGTCTCCCTCTTATCTCCTTGATGAGACATATGGAGTCACTCTGCTCATGCTCAGTTTGTCGTGTATTGCTAGAGAGTTTTTTTTTTGTTCCTGGGAGAGTGCATGTGATCAGCACAGGGCCATTCAGCACTGTCCAAACACATCAGGGGTTCTGCATCCTCCTAGAGCAGAAAGAAAACTCCTAAAGCTTTAACCAGTGCTCTTCTGGACACTGATAGAAGTCAGAAGACTTCTCTGCTATATACTACTGATGAGAAAAGGTATTTAGCAGTTTATACGCGGATGGATGGGGAAATTTGCTTTGAATATTAATATTGTATTTAACGGCGTTTTTGGCGCTCAGATGCAGCATAATTCCAATTTAAGGAAGGCGAAAATGTTGGTAAACTGCGATTTTTTTTTTTTTTTTTTTTTTTTTTTTTTTTTTTATTTTTTTTTTTATACCTCTTCTGGCGATAAATAATTGCTGACTAGTCTTTTTAGCTGTGGCGGTGAGGCTGGAGTTCTTGGAACGTATTACAGACGGTCTAACAAATCTAAATGTACGCATGGCCAGCTATAATCAGAGGAGTGCAGCCTTCAGTCCGCCGGCCATCACATTCCTGTAACAAAAGGGAAATCGTCTTTCTGTAGATATATTCTGTATACTGTTTGGCTTCGTGCTCATGAAGTATATAATACAGCGCTTATCCATGTGGTAACTTGTCAGGAACTGATGGCATTGATCAGTGTGTGCGGTATATATGCTGCGCGTCTGGAGTTTATTGTATTACGGAATGAATGTACTTTTATATTATCCGCTGAATATGAGTGACCTTATCTTATCGCAGCACATATTGAGCTATTCTGGGATGGAGCGGAGCCTAATCCTGGAGGTGAGCGTCGTCTACAATTGTGTTCTCACATATCCTGAACCTGCCGACTGCTGCAACTGTGGACTAAAGCAGACTGCTCAGGTCATTGTTATGTTTTGCTTTGTTACATAGTCTGGCTGAAAAAAAGACAAAAGTCCATCCAGTTCAACCATAAATAAAAAAAAAAAAAAAAATGTATAATCCTACACCCACAGTTGATCCAGAGGAAGGTAAAAAAAATCCAGCAAAGCACGATCCAATTTGCTCCTGCAGGGAAAAAGATTCCTTCCTGATCCCCCGAGAGGCAATCGGATATTCCCTGGATCCACTTTACCTATAAATGTTATATCCAGTTATATTCTGTGTATCCAAGAAAGAATCCAGGACTTTCCTACAGCAATCCACTGAGTTGGCCACAACCAACTCTTGAGGGAGTCTATTCCACATTCTCACAGCTCTCACTGTGAAGAAACCTTTCCATGGTTGGAGATTAAATCTCTTTTCCTCCAGGTGCAAAGAGCGCCCCCTTCTGTGATGACCTCAGGGTGAATAACTCTACACCGAGTTCACTGTATGAACCACTGATGTATTTATACATTTATACATGGAGATCATATCCCCCCTTATGTATTATACATGGAGATCATATCCCCCTTATGTATTATACATGGTGATCATATCCCCCCTTATGTATTATACATGGAGATCATATCCCCCCCTTATGTATTATACATGGAGATCATATCCCCCCTTATGTATTATACATGGAGATCATATCCCCCCCTTATGTATTATACATGGAGATCATATCCCCCCCTTATGTATTATACATGGAGATCATATCCCCCCCTTATGTATTATACATGGAGATCATATCCCCCTTATGTATTATACATGGAGATCATATCACCCCCCCCCTATGTATTATACATGGAGATCATATCCCCCCTTATGTATTATACATGGAGATCATATCCCCCCTTATGTATTATACATGGAGATCATATCCCCCCTTATGTATTATACATGGAGATCATATCCCCCCTTATGTATTATACATGGAGATCATATCCCCCCCTTATGTATTATACATGGAGATCATATCCCCCTATGTATTATACATGGAGATCATATCCCCCCTTATGTATTATACATGGTGATCATATCCCCCCTTATGTATTATACATGGAGATCATATCCCCCCTTATGTATTATACATGGAGATCATAGCCCCCCTTATGTATTATACATGGAGATCATAGCCCCCCCTTATGTATTATACATGGAGATCATAGCCCCCCCTTATGTATTATACACGGAGATCATATCCCCCCTTATGTATTATACATGGTGATCATATCCCCCCTTATGTATTATACATGGAGATCATATCCCCCCTTTAATCTCCTCTTCTCAAGAGAGAATAAGTTCAGTTCCTCCAATCTCTCTCATAGCTGATCTCCTCCATGCCTCTTACCAGTTTGGTTGCCCTTCTCTGCAGTTTCTCCAGTTCCCCAATGTTCTTTTTGTGAATTGGAGCCCAAAACTGAATTGCATATTCCAGATGAGGTCTTACTAATGATTTGCACCGGGGGGGGGGGGGGGGGGGGTGATATCTCTCTCTCTGGAGTCTATACCTTTCCTAATACAAGAGAGGATTTTGCTCGCTTTAGAACCCGCAGCTTGGCATTGCTGCCATTATTAAGCTTGTGATCTACCAGAACTCCTTGTCCACCATTGACCCCCCCTGTTGTACCCCCCTAGTATGTATGATGCATGCATATTCTTAGCCCCCAAGTGCAGAATCTTACATTTATCAACATTAAACCTCATTGGCCACATAGTTGCCCAATTACACAGAGCATTGAGGTTGGCTTGTAAGTTGGAGACATCCTGTAAGGACGTTATTCCCCGACACAGCTTGGTGTCATCTGCAAAGACTGAAATGGGATTTATAATCTCACACCCCATATTGTTTATAAATATATTAAAAAGTAAGGGTCCCAACACTGAACTTTGGGGTACCCCACTGACACCCCTAGACCATTCAGAGTATGAATATTAACCACTTCTCTTTGAATACCATCTTTTAGCCAGTTTTCTATCCATCTACATATGGATTTTTCCAGCCTGTAGACCTTACCTTACACATTAGCTGTGTGTAGGGAACTGTGTCAAACTTTTGCAAAATCCAAGTATGCCACATCCACCGCCACCACCGCGCTGTCCAAGTATGGTACGTCCACCGCCACCCCTCTGTCCAAGTATGCCATGTCCGCAGGCACCCCTCTGTCCAAGTACACCACATCCACCGCCACCCCTCTGTCCAAGTACACCACGTCCACCCACCCCTCTGTCCACCCCGTCCACCGCCACCCCTGTCCAAGTACACTGTCACACCACGTCCACCGCCACCCCTCTGTCCAAGTACACCACGTCCACCGCCACCCCCCCTCTGTCCAAGTACACCACGTCCACCGCCACCCCTCTGTCCAAGTATACCACCTCTGTCCACCGCCACCCCACCGCACCCCTGTCCAAGTACACCACGTCCACCGCCACCCCTCTGTCCAAGTACACCACGTCCACCGCCACCCCTCTGTCCAATTACACCACGTCCACCGCCACCCCTGTCTGTCCAATTCCAAGTTACACACCACGTCCACCGCCACCCCTCTGTCCAAGCTACAAGTACACGTCCACCACCAAGTGTCCACCGCCACCCCTCCAAGTGTCCACCGCCACCCCTCTGTCCAAGTACACCACGTCCACCGCCACCCCTCTGTCCAAGTACACCACGTTCACGTCCACCGTCACCCCTCTGTCCAAGTACACCACGTCCACCGCCACCCCTCTGTCCAAGTACACCACGTCCACCGCCACCCCTCTGTCCAAGTACACCACGTTCACCGCCACCCCTCTGTCCAAGTACACCACGTCACCGCCACCCCTCTGTCCAAGTACACCACGTCCACCGTCACCCCTCTGTCCAAGTACACCACGTCCACCGCACAAGTACCCGTCCCACCGCCACCCCCAAGTACACCACGTTCACCGCCACCCTGTCCCAAGTACACCATGTCCAACCCCTCTGTCCAAGTACACCATGTCCACCGTCACCCCTCTGTCCAAGTACACGCCCCCCTGTCCAAGTCTGTCCAAGTATACACCATGTCCACCGCCACCCCCACACGTCCACCGCCACCCCTCTGTCCAAGTATACCACGTCCACCACCACTCCAATGGTGTATCAGGTCTGTGTAATGCTTGTTGGAACATCCACTTGTCTTCATTGAAAGCTCCTGCTTTGGGGTTGATAGCACAGATGTGCATAGCTGGGAGACAGAGGGGTAGATTTACTAAAACTGGAGAATGAAAATTCTGGTGCAGCTGTACATGAGATCCAATCATCTTCTTACTTCAGCCTGTTCAACTAAGCTTTCACAATACAATCTGGATGCTGTTTGGTTTCTGTGCAGATTTTGCTTTCTCCAGTTTTAGTAAATCAACCCAAAGTGTTGTCACCCTATCAGGGGCGGACTGACAACTCATGGGCCCCCGGGCAATAGGGGATCATGGGGCCCCTGTGTCCTTGTCCACACTCAAATCACACCCAAAAAAGCCTATAAAAGGTACCAGGGGCATTTCATGGGGCCCCCTACTGACCCCGGGCCCTCGGGCAGTGCCTGAGTGCTCGAATGGTTAGTCCGCCCCTGCACCCTGTAACAGGAAGTGCCTGAACAAGGATCTTCATGGCAGGATCCTCAGGGAATATTTTATAGTTGCCAAATTAAAACTATTGAAGATTAACTTTGAAAATGACAATATGTTGATGCTTTTATGAGCCTTTTGTGAACAATATTGGCAGTAAATTAAGGTTGGATAAAAGTTTCTTGTTCACAAAGGAGTTAAAGTGCTGATTTGTTCCTGTGTAGAGTTCACGGGACCGCTCTGTGATTTCTCAGGCCTGAACAAACACGGGGCTTCTGCTGAAGTGTGATGTGGGTGTGCTCCTCGCCTCTGGCGTACTACCTGGAGGATTAAACTTGATTTTCAAGTTGGTCCTGAAAATCTCTCATAGCAGAGATGACAAGCATTCCAGAAAGTGCACAGGTTCTTAGCAGCCAACTTGGCTCCCGATAGAGAAGTGCGCGTCTTTTCTTCCCGCCTTCCACCAGATGTAAACTTCAGCCGGGTTCAATAGCTGCTGAAATTATGGACTTTTCCATCGTGTTTTAATGACCTCGGCTATTTAATGAGCTCTTTAATGTGGTTGTAACAGCTTTGAAGTATCTAATCCAGTGCAGTGTGAAATAGACTCCCACTTCGCATGTATAACATGTCCTATAGAGTTCCCCTCCTCTTTTATACTTTGAAAATATATATATATATATATATATGTGTGTGTGTATACAGTATATATTCTTATTCCTTTTTCTTTCTTGATCTCATCCCTCTCCCTTCCTACTTTCTTCTCCTTTCTGTCTTCTGCCTTCTTCTTCTGCTTTGTTCTTTTGCTTCTTTCTTCTGCCTTCTCCTTTTCTTTCTTCTGTCTTTTTTGTTCTTTCCTTCTGCCTTTTCCCTTCTTTCCTTCTTCTGCCTTTTCCCTTCTTTCCTTTCTCATTCTTTTCCTTCTCCTTCTTTTCCTTCTCTTTCTTTTCCTTCTCCTTCTTTTCCTTCTCCTTCTTTTCCTTCTCCTTCTTTTCCTTCTCCTTCTCTTTCTTTTCCTTCTCCTCCTTCTCCTTCTTTTTTCTTCTTTTCCTTCTCTGTCTTTTCCTTCTCTGTCTTTTCCTTCTCCGTCTTTTCCTTCTCCGTCTTTTCCTTCTCCGTCTTTTCCTTCTCCGTCTTTTCCTTCTCTGTCTTTTCCTTCTCCTTCTCTTCCTTCTCTTCCTTCTCTTCCTTCTTCCTTCTCCGTTTTTCCTTCTCCGTCTTTTCCTTCTCCGTCTATTCCTTCTCCGTCTTTTCCTTCTCCTTCTCCGTCTTTTCTTTCTCCGTCTTTTCCTTCTCCGTCTTTTCCTTCTCCTTCTCCGTCTTTTCCTTCTCCGTCTTTTCCTTCTCCGTCTTTTTCCTTCTCCGTCTTTTCCTTCTCCGTCTTTTCCTTCTCCGTCTTTTTCCTTCTCCGTCTTTTCCTTCTCCGTCTTTTCCTTCTCCGTCTTCTCCTTCTCCGTCTATTCCTTCTCCTTCTTTTTTTCCTTCTCCTTCTCCGTCTATGCCTTCTCCTTCTTTTCCTTCTCCTTCTTTTCCTTCTCCTTCTCTGTCTATTCCTTCTCCTTCTTTTCCTTCTCCTTCTCCGTCTTTTCCTTCTCCGTCTTTTCCTTCTCCGTCTTTTCCTTCTCCGTCTTTTCCTTCTCCTTCTTCGTCTTTTCCTTCTCCTTCTCCGTCTTTTCCTTCTCCGTCTTTTCCTTCTCCGTCTTCTCCTTCTCCTTCTTCTTCTCCTTCTCCGTCTTTTCCTTCTCCGTCTTTTCCTTCTCCGTCTTTTCCTTCTCCGTCTTCTCCTTCTCCGTCTTCTCCTTCTCCGTCTTCTCCTTCTCCGTCTTCTCCTTCTCCGTCTTTTCCTGCTCCGTCTTCTCCTTCTCCGTCTTCTCCTTCTCCGTCTTCTCCTTCTCCGTCTTCTCCTTCTCCGTCTTCTCCTTCTCCGTCTTCTCCTTCTCCGTCTTCTCCTTCTCCGTCTTCTCCTTCTCCTTCTCCTCCTCTTCTCCTTCTCCGTCTTTTCCTTCTCTGTCTTTTCCTTCTCCGTCTTTTACCTTCTCTTCCCCTTCTTTCTTATGCCCTCTTCTTCTTTTTTTTTTTTTTTCTTTCACCTTCTCCTTCTTTCACCTTCTCCTTCTTTCACCTTCTCCTTCTTTTTTTTTCTTTCACCTTCTTATTTTTTTTTTCTTTCTTCTGTTTACTCCTTCGTTCTTTCTTCTGCCTGTTCTTTTTCTCTGCCTTTTCCTTCGTTCTTTCTTCTAATTTATTTTCATCTGGTGATCCTGCCGGTAAGGCTAAGTTCACATGTTCTTTTTGCTTTTCAGAGTGTGGCTAAGCAGCCACTGCTAGGCGTTCAGGAGGCATTGGCTAGGCATTATCTGATGACCAGCAATGGTCATTGGTCTGCGGTTGCAGTGCAGGCCACATTGACTTGAATGGGCAAGCTGGACAAGTGATGTTGCCTGTCAGCTCAATGTGCCACTTTAAAGTGATTCTAAAATAGCTTTTTTCCCCCTAGAATAACATACATGTCATAATTACCTGCTCTGTATAACGGTTCTGCATAAAGCATCCCCAATCCTCCTCTTCTGGGGTCCCCTGCCAGTGGTCCTTTTCTATGAGTGCCCCCGAAGAAAGCCCCTTCCTAGGGGAGCACTTATGCCGGCTTGATCCCAATGTCACAACTTGAAAACAGCGCAGCCGTGCAGGGCTCCACCTACATGGCTGTGTCATCCATCCACACTTTTTCTGTGAATAGACTACAAGTGCCATCACCCATGGCAACTGACAGCTTGTAGTTCTCAATGAACCTCTCCTGCAGCTGCGACCCCCCCCCCCCCCTTCATCTCCGCCCCCAATTTTTTTGTCTCATCAGTCGCCAGCAGAGAGGACGACATACCTCCTCCTCCAGATCCTGCGCCTCTCTGTGCACCTTCAGCACCCCCCTGGTCTCGACATTCAGCAGACTCCTGCAGCTGACCCCAGCTTTCCACTGGTCCTCCTCCAGACCCTGCACTTTCTGCTTCCCAGTTCCACCCCCCCAGGTAAGGGGTGTGCACTGCCATGTAAGGGACGGTGGGGTACTCTTGACTTCTGATGGGTGGGGGTGCTCTTGATAAATGATGTAAGGGGGGTGGGGGGACTTGTGACTTCTGATGGGTGGGGGTGCTCTTGATATCTGATGTAAGGGGGGTGGGGGGGGGGACTCTTGACTTTTGATGGTGGGGGGCTCTTGACATCTGATGTAAGGGGCGTGGGGGACTCTTGATTTCTGATGGTGGGGGGCTCTTGACATCTCATGTAAGGGGGGTGGGGGACTCTTGATTTTTGATGGTGGGGGGCTCTTGACATCTGATGCAAGGGGGGTGGGGGACTCTTGACTTCTGATGTAAGGGGCGTGGGGGACTCTTGACCTCTGATGGTGGGAGGCTCTTGACATCTGATGTAAGGGGCGTGGGGGACTATTGATTTTTGATGGTGGGGGGCTCTTGAATTCTCATGTAAGTGGGGGGTGGACTCTTGACTTCTGATGGGTGAAGGGGCTCTTGACATCTGATGCAAGGGGGGTGGGGGACTCCTAACTTTTGATGGTGGGGGGGGCTCTTGACATCTGATGTAAGGGGCGTGGGGGACTCTTGATTTCTGATGGTGGGGGGCTCTTGACATCTCATGTAAGGGGGGTGGGGGGACTCTTGATTTTTGATGGTGGGGGGCTCTTGACATCTGATGTAAGGGGCGTGGGGGACTCTTGACCTCTGATGGTGGGAGGCTCTTGACATCTGATGTAAGGGGCGTGGGGGACTATTGATTTTTGATGGTGGGGGGCTCTTGAATTCTCATGTAAGTGGGGGGTGGACTCTTGACTTCTGATGGGTGAAGGGGCTCTTGACATCTGATGCAAGGGGGGTGGGGGACTCCTAACTTTTGATGGTGGGGGACTCTTGACTTCTGCTGTAAGGGGGGTGGGGGGGACTCTTGACTTCTGATGGTGGGGGGGTTCTTGACAACTGATGCAAGTGCAGCCGTAATACTGATGCGGCCTGCGATGAAATTGAATTTGACACCCCCCTGTATGGTCTGGTGTGCACAAAGACATATAGGAGAGATTGGGCAGCTTGCAATTAACCAGGAACATCTTAGATTGTGAGCTCCCAGGATCAGGGCCCTCCTAACCCTCATGTATTGAACTGTATTGTTGCTGTATTGTCTCCCTTTATGTTGTAAAGTGCTGAGCAAACTGTTGGCGCCATATAAATCCTGTATAATAACAATGCTGATAGGAGGACAGCAGAGAGAACAGAGGGATGACCTTCTCAGTCTGCTG